TAGTGGTGCAATTTCCAATTATGGGATCACATCCCTAATAAACAAATACCATAAACGAACTGTATCCCGGATGGGTAAACTATCTCACAAATGGTTTGGATGATACCCCGAAAACGTCGTTAAGGTCTCTTTTATGGTTATTTTTATTAGGGATGACAGTTATGTGAAATTCACATGGATATTTTCCACTGGTTATGTGATGTCGAAATGTACTGGTTATGTGTAGATCGAAATTCTACCCGCCAGACTATAGGTATTATGTGTCAAGCACAAACTCCACAATCTTTTCTTGTTACTTACATAAACAAAATATTATCATACCTAATATCTTATTATTCCATAATTTCATGAAACATGTTTTAGCCAAAATGAATGTGTGTGGGAAACTGGCCCACATTTATATGGGAGATTTTTTGACGTACACGAAACGAAAATCAATTATTTTATCCATGTGTTTCACTTATACATTTTTGCCAAAACATCAGCCTTATACATTCCATAAGACAAACCACATAGGTCCTATAAGAATGCATAAAAGGTATGCGTGACCGCTTATACATTTCATTTGACACATGATCTTCATTAACTTTTTGCAAGGTGTCTACTTATTAGTTGACTTATACATTTTATGAATAATCAGCAATAGAAATTTGCCAAAAGGTGTAAAGAGATTTCTATCCGTGTATGACTACGTCTATATGGGATACACATTGTGAAAACTGATTATGGAACATGTAACAACATTATGAAAGATTTTGAACGTTAATAACTCAGCTGCCTTTGGACCAATCTCAATAATTTTATCACCAATCGATCAGAAATATTTCTAAACTTAAGACATTATCATTGTTCAAAATGTCACTATTGAATGTGCAATTATTGCTATAATAATTGCGCAACTGTTGCTGCGAAAAGCGATTTCCCTAACACAGATTTAAAAATTTAATTCCATCCAATCTCACCAAACGGTGTTTATTCAATCACCGCGTGATGAGTTGTGGTGTTCTCCAGTACACAACGAAAGGCTCCCTGCAAGCAGCGAGCTACAGCCCACATGAGCATCCATAGAAGCAGGAAGAAGCCGCACCGCTGTTGATCGGAATCAGTAGCTCTTCGTTAGTTGCTGTGGGCCATCAAGCGCGTCATACTAAAGAGTATAAACAGAGATAACCCCGCTCAAATTCCTATTACTACACAAAACACAAGCTCCTGCTGCAGTGAACAAAAACGATTTATTAGATAAAACCACGTAGTCCTACGTCACCATTGCGTACAACCAACAATCAATACGAAACTAACGATTTTAAATTGGCTCACTTGGGACTGAAGAGAGTACCAGAGCTGAGCCAAAAAGTTGAGCACGTTATTTTGGGACATTCTAGTCTTAGAGTTACCTCTATGGTACAACCCCATCTCTCATCACGCCTTCCGTAAAGCCGTTGGTCCCCGGTTCATGAGTTGATGGGTCGACAGGTAGGGTCCAGGTGTGGGAGCTACCTCCTCAGCACGGAAAACAAGATCTACGGAAAACAAACCAAAGGAAAAAAAACCAATTACAGGCAACTAGATTACCTTTAAAAAAAGTTCATATTTTCCATGGGCCAACATCCAGACTCGTTGTCAGTAGGTGAGATAACCACTCGCTGAATGTTTCAGCTCTTTTTGACGTAACACGGGCTAGTGTTTTGCGTTTAATTGTTCATGTAGGAGATTTGGTTGAAATTTTCATATACAAAATACTCATATACATCATCTTCAGCATAGTTGTTATTCATTAATTGAACTACAAGTTTTGAAAATATGAATCAAATCGAGAATAAGGATTTTTTTTATGATCAATAGAGTGTAGGAGTGTTATTTTTTCATGTATTTTATCAAAAATTCAAACTAAAAGCGCCAGTTCATCCTACAACCAAATGAGCTAATACTTTCAGAGCATGGTGGAAAAATTTAAACTTTTTTTTGTGGGCCAGTCTAAACTAGGAAGCGCGTACAAAAGTGCATATACTAATAACACAGACAAACAGACCAATGACATTGCACATTTCTCACTGTAAAACATCGAGCATAACACTTGGTAGTGTGTAAACGCCATACGCAAGTGATTTGAACTAAGAATAAGAATCATTTTAATTGACCGTTAAATGCGTGTTCGATGAACAACTTGCGAAGGTTATGTCTGTTTGTCTGTGATTATGCATGGAGTTACTCATTTTATGTTACACTCAAAAAAATCTTCACGTTAATGCTACGTGAAAAATTACGTAACCTCTTTAACACCCCACTTCGATCATTTGCACGTGGCTTACGTCAATGTCAAATTAAATTTTGATAAAGTCAATGAAATCGTGTACACTCTACAACATATACACACCCAATCTACGTAAAAAATCACGTAGCTCATTCGTATGCTTCAACTTTCATGTTTACATCATGGTAGTAAAATTGATAAATATATCATGTCATGTTCACTGGACCTGATGATGAATGTGACAACATTGTCACATCAAACTTCTATGTGCGGTTGTGTGATTGTGGTGTGCTTACGTAAAATGAGTTTACGTGATTTACATGTATGAAAAAGTTAAACAATATGGCGGCATCGATTTTATTAGTGGAAGAAGTGATTCAGCATGCTGCAAATGTTTGAAAGTATTTTTATATTATTGCGCTTTATTTGAAATCCGTCATACACTGCTAATTAAATTTATTTCGATTTCATAGGCTGGATTACAAGATACAATTTACGGGGATTATTTCCAAAGGTCAATTTAGCCTGACTCAGCAGTAAACAGTGCAAACGGATATTGCATCTGAATCGTCATGATTAATTAAAAGTTGGTAAAGCGAAATGCGAAATCAATGTTTAAGTATTATTTTCTTGGAAAAAATGGAAAACATTATTTGTTAGATCCGGTAAAGATCACTTCAAAATCACGTCAACATTACGTGCAAATCCATTACAATTATAGTGGAAACCACGGAACGTAAACGTAAGATGAACCTCGAGATGAACAGTATTTTCCAGTAAATATCATTTCAAAATCACGTAAACATTACGTGATAACCGCTTCCAATTTAAGTGGAAATCACGTTATATTTACCTTACTGTTCACGTTGACCGCTGAATGGGAATATTTTTGACTACCTGGCATTAACGTAAATGTTACGTGAAAAGTAGTATGGACGAAAGCTACCAATGTTTTCACGTAGATCGGACGTGCATATTTTTTGGAGTGTACACTTACACTTGGGCTTCAGATCTCCAGATAGTTGCGAGAATACTACGAGATACTACAGTTTGGAATTAATTTGTTTCGATAAAAAAAAATGACCGGTTTATATTTTATACAATGTTTCTTTATTTTCTCCTTTATTTTTCAAAAAAAAAAAGTTCACCTTCATAATCTTCTTCCCTTTTTATCTCCACTAAATATAATAAGAATATATAATAATTTTAATAATAATGTTTATAATAATAATTGTTTTTTTTTTTGCTTTTATTTTCTTCTCATTCGTCATCATTCCATTATTCTTCAATCACTGTCACTGGTTGCCCGAAATGTCTCTTTTCCTTGCCGTCATTCTTCGCTCTTGTGTGTATGTGTGTCTTGCGTTTGTCCGTTGTTGCTTATCAACTCTACTATTAATTCTCAATCAATCAATCAATCAGGAGTGCACTATGCTAATATTAATAATAAATACCTCTCCTGTGGTGTGCCTCGTGTCGCTAAACTTGTTCGATTTTCTCTTTACAGTACAGTATAGTGTGTAATGATGATGGCTTATTTCAAGTTTCTTTCTTTTTGAGTGATTTCCGATTACGATCAATTATAGTTCAGTTTGTGTGTGTGTTTTTTACTGTTTAGCTTGGAAGATTTAACGCTATGCACTCTAATGCTTACTCATTTTTTTTTTTAATCTGTGGCGAGCCTGCGGATTTGTGTGTAGGATTAGTTCATGTTTTGTTTGCAATGTTCAATGTTTTACTTAATAAAACGATAACGAAATCATCCGAGATTGATCGTTAAATTATGCGCAGTAGTTCTTTTGTTTCATATTTTTTTTGCTATGATATGAGATCATTCTGAATCGCGGTACGTTCCTCTTTCATTTTCTGTTAATCAATAATCTTTCCATTTCAATTTATTGTTCACAGTGCAATAATTAGAGGACGTTTAAATTTTCTTCACTCTTTTTTTTTATTAGCTTCATGTCTTGATGTGATTGCTTTTAATTCCTACAAAATATACTTCATTTTCAGCCCTTGTCCTACAACATAACCTTTCACCCTTCCGGCGTTTGTTTTTGGCATTACATATAATCGATTTTTGCTTTTTGCATAAATTGGTAAATAGTTTAAAGAGCTAGATTTCACTTTTCAAAAGCATCTGAGAGAGATAGTCGATTATGTTGCTTGGGTTTTGTGGTAGATAAAATTGGATACAAAATAATGAACGAATTCGGAGATAGTTTGATTTCAAAAACAATCATTCTAAGATGTAAAGGTTTTTTTTTCTTTACGCACAGTTACTCGCAGGTTGCTAACCGTAGGAAAAGTGTAGTCAGTTAAAACCTACAAAGCCTATCTCATTTTCAATACGTATCTTAATTGTCTCAATATCTAAATGTCTTTCACATTGTTGTCAATTTTGTTTGGGTTGTTCCGAAAAATATATATTTATATAACTATATCCTATTACATTGCCTCTACGGTCTCTGTCAATTACTTTTTAACAATAATTTACACTCAAATATGGCATCATTCGATTTGTTTTCATCTCCTTTTTCTGCAGTTGTTGTTGTTGTTTTTATTTGCTCTGGCGACCTATAAATTTGCCCGCATTCAACTACTTAATGAAAGAACCATTTATTTTACAAGCTATTACGGTATGTTTCTGTTTCTTCATTTTTATTACTTTGATTTATTTCAAGTGGTAAAAGAAACGTTTTCTTTGGTTGCTACCAAGGACCGAAATCGTCAACAACAATAGCATCTATTTTGACTGTCCGGAATCGCTGGCTTTCGCTTTCTTTCAAATGATCGTTTATCGATTATGCACCAACCGAAAACCAAAGAGTGGCAAACGAAAAATAAAACAAACCCGACAATTTTGATTCAAAAAACTGCAATTTATTGGTATTAATGTAAAATAATTTTCACGTGTATGAGTATTCATTACCTTTTTACGCATGGTTCACGTTTAAATGTGTTTGTTCAGAATATGGCAAATATTTGTCTTGTTTCATTTGTTTCTACACACGCTTGCGCGACGCACCTTTCTGTCATCGTCATCATCATCATTGTTTTCTTCTTCTTTCTTTCCATTGTGTCTTAATTAGTTCTATAACATTCCTACGTTTGTATTTTACATCTACTTATTATGGTCTTGTTCTACGGAGCAGTTGAAAATTAACGTGTGTTTGTGTGACAGAAAGAAAGCGTTAAATCATAGGCTGATTCTTCTTCTGCACTTGCTGTGTTCTGCTTTTCTTTTATGGCTTAACAATATACGCACAAGATGTTGCGATGTTCTTTTCTTCTTGCTTTATTTATTTCTTCACTAAAACTTAAAGTTACGAGACAATGTTGTTGCTCACGAGACAAATGATACTTAAAACTAATGGATAATTTAATGACAATAATAGATACTTATACGCTTAAGTGTGTGTGTGTGTTTGTTTTGTTTTTTTTACTGTTAGTTGGATAGATTCACGTCACTTTTGTTTGTTCAGATGCAATGCATGTATGTGGGGTTTAATTTGTAATAAATAGTTAAATAGCAAATTAAATAATGATTCCTTTCGTCGTTTGATTTTAGGAAAAAAAATAATAAAAACTTTCACTTGTACATTTACTAACATATGATGGGTTTCATTTTTGTTCAGTTCTTTTATTTGATAAAACTGATTCGAGTTACGGTTGTCCTTTCACTGTGTCTTTTACTTGTTTCACTTCATCAGTTAGAAGAATTAATAAAAAAAAAATACGATCAATAATAGTAAAGAGATTTTACAAATACCTACTTAGAGTGACTACAAAAAAAAAGTACAAAGAAAATCAAAAAACAAGACCTAGAGACTAAGTTAAAATACTAATACTTTTTCATCTTTGAAATTTTTGTTTTCGCTTTGAATGTGTATGTATGTATTGTATGTGCATTTCGCATTCCGCGCGCATTTTCCACTTATAGCCTATTAGTGTTCTAGACTCGGAGAAATAAAGGGACAGGAAAGTGTGAAATGATTTAACCTAGAGAGATTTTATGAACAAACAAAAAACTCTTAAAAACGAACCGCACCGTCCGTGCATGTGAGTGTGTGCGTGAGCACGATTGAAAGAAAGAGGAATAGTATTTACAAAAAAAAGTCTATAACAGCTAGTCGTTAGTGTATTAGTTTTTAGCAAACATTTGTGATATCTTTTTCCATTGTTTCACATTAAGCAAAGTCAGCAAATCGGAGCTATAGAGCGCAAAGTTTGTAGTAGTGAGAGAACTATGTTCTCCCGGAAAAATTCTAGAGCGAGAGCATTTTTCGCGTTCCGTTTCATCAGGTTGGGTTTAAAGTAAGCAGCAAAAAATCGAGAAGATTAATGCAGGAGTGGTCCAGATTTCGTTCTGACGTTTGGACGAATTTGGTTTGGGAGGTTAAAATTAAAAGTCAAAATGGAACAGTACGTAGTCAGATTCTTTTGTGTTAACAACTTGTTTTTTTTTTTTGTACTTTTGGCTTCGATATAGATTATTTTTGTTTACGTTAAATTTGCTATTTCTTGTTTTCAAAATATTTGATTTCTTGTTCAAAAGTTATTTTTGATATCTTTTTTTCCTATGTTTTCTTTAGTGTGTGCCTGAAGGTGCGTTTGTTTGTTGTTGTTGTTGTTGTTGTCGTTATTGTTTCGATCTTCAAAAAGTCAAACAAAAATTGAGATTTTAGATTCCGACATACAAACTAAAAACAATCGAGACAGATTTGAGCAATAGAGAGTATTGCGAAACCTAACTCAAATGCTTATCACAAAGAAAAGTCTCTGCACAAAAACAAACTAAAAGTTACAATGTAAGTCCTTAGCTAAAACAACGCGTTGGTTTTACGTCTTACAGTTTCCTGGTTTTGCATCTCAAAAATACTGGAGCGTACGTATTCGTGTCTTTCTCGAGTGGTTGTTCCGAATCTTATTCTTATGTAGTCACTAGCATCAGTTGATATTTTCTCTCATCCTCCTCTGTCTGTCGTCCTTCCTCAGTAGTAGTAATAGTAGTAGTATTGATTAGGATCGTGTCTTTCGTGGTGCGGTTGGCTTTGTAGTCCCGTTGGGAGCCACTGATGTGGCAGCTGCGACTGCTGGTGATGGAATGCCCCCCTACTGGAACCAGGAACTCCACCCGGCAGCGGCGGCTGCGAGGTCAATGGAACCGACGTCGCCAAACCTGACGCCGATTGATGGCTGCTGCAATTGCCGCGTGTTGCTGTAATCTGCTCATCCAGCGGTCGTCCTGGCGGCAGATTTTTCTCTCACCACTAGACACCCGAGTATTCCACGTCCATCATGTCGTGTTCCTGTGTGGAATAGGCAATGGAAACGTCCATGAATTTCTACCGTTAATTAGTGTTCGGCGAATTTTGTTAGCGAAAATTCCTCGCTGAAATCTAATTCGAACTTAGACATGGGCTATTATTAGACTGAAATCTCTTGATTTTGCTTTTATGTGTAACACATCCAGGCTTGATGGAGCCTCACTCGCGAGTTTGAAATGAGCCGAGCGTAGCATTTTTATGAGGAGTAAAGGGTGATACGGTCAAAATTTGGTCAATATCAACTTGACGTATTTCTTTCAATTTTGCATTTAAAAAACCTGAACACCCCTCATTTTGAAGGTGTGTGTGTGTAGAATGTTGCTCCTATTTTGATTTTGGAATTCACTCTTCAGTTGTCAAAATGCCGTCCAAGCAAGAAGAGCAGCGTATCAAAATTTTGCTCGCGCATCGCGAAAATCCGAGCTACTCGCACGCAAAGTTGGCAAAATCGCTAAAAGTTGCCAAATCAACCGTTACAAATGTAATTAAAGTGTTTGGGGAACGTTTGTCGACAGCCAGGAAGTCTGGATCGGGGGGAAATCGAAAACCGGAAGCCGCTGAGACGACAAAGAGAGTTGCCCGTAGTTTTAAGCGAAACCCTAACCTCTCTCTCCGAGATGCCGCAAATAAGCTGGGTGTATCGTCTACAACCGTGCATCGAGCCAAAAAACGAGCCGGACTATCGACTTACAAGAAGGTAGTGACTCCAAATCGCGATGATAAACAAAATACGACGGCCAAAGCGCGATCCCGGAGGCTGTACACGACGATGCTGACGAAGTTTGACTGCGTGGTAATGGACGACGAAACCTACGTCAAAGCCGACTACAAGCAGCTTCCGGGACAGGAGTTTTATACGGCAAAAGGAAGGGGAAAGGTAGCAGATGTTTTCAAGCACATGAAACTGTCAAAGTTCGCAAAGAAATATCTGGTTTGACAAGCCATCTGTACCTGTGGCTTGAAAAGCAGCATTTTCATAGCTTCCGGGACTGTCAACCAAGAAATTTACGTGAAAGAGTGTTTGAATAAACGTCTGCTGCCTTTCCTGAAGAAACACGGTTGTTCCGTACTGTTTTGGTCGGATTTGGCATCTTGCCATTACGGTAAAAAGGCCATGGAGTGGTACGCCGCCAACAACGTGCAGGTGGTTCCCAAGGACAAGAACCCTCCCAACACGCCAGAGCTCCGCCCAATTGAGAAATACTGGGCTATTGTCAAGCGGAACCTAAAGAAGACCAAAAAAACTGTTAAGGACGAGCAGCAGTTCAAGGCAAACTGGCTTTCTGCGGCGAAGAAGGTGGACAAGGTGGCTGTACAAAATCTGATGGCAGGGGTCAAGCGTAAGGCCCGGCAATTCGGATTTGGAAAAGAGGAAGCCTAACTGAATATTTTTCCTGAATTTTATACTAATTGAACTTGAAAAAGAAATTTAATTTGATTTTTTAAATAAACGATTTCACCGATTTACACGCGTTTTCCCTTGACCAAATTTTGACCGTATCACCCTTTAGAATCACTACTCACAAATCATCGGGGGAAACAGCTCACAGCTTGAGAGAGAAAGGGGATAAAACGGGAGTGAGGTTTGCTCAGGGGTTGGATGCGGCTGTCAAATACGGACAATCGTCGCCTACCTCGTATGTTACCGTTTGGGTACTTCGCCCTATGGAAAAAGCTCGAGCAGAGCGATAGCAGCGCTATAAAGAGAGAGCACTCAACCGAACGAGGCAGCAATCCACTAGTATACTGCTGTTCGGTGCGCTCAAGTCTGAGAACCATGAAAGTTTGCAATCAGTAATGATTGAACTAATGTTTGTTTAGAATTAATGATACTATTATTCATATTGTTGCTAAAACTGAATGGTGAATGAATAGTAAAGCACTACCCAAGTAACCATAGGCACGATATTTCGCCTTTTTGGCTATATACGGGCCTCATCAGAACTTGCAAACACTGGTATAGCCGGTGTTCAGCTGTATATAGCCAAAAAGGCAAAATAACGTGCCTATGGTTACTTGGGTAATGGCTCATTCATATACATAAAACAGATAGGAATTAAGGAACTGAATAACATGAACTCCAGTATGAACGGTCGAATTAAATACAGAAACACACCAACTGTTATGCGTGTAGGTACACTTAGCATATAGAAAACAACACCCACCAGCCGGATCAGGGAGGAGAAGGGAAATTTGGAATGTGACTAATGGACCAACAAGGAAAGGGACATTTTGGGAAAAGGGAAATATATGGTTGGGAAAAGGGAAATATATGACGTCTTTTACCAAGTTGAAGAACAGAGTTTATAAGTGCAAACGTAAACAAGCCATAAGAAACCAACATGCACGCTCGCTCAATGTTACTCAAAAGTGAGTTACTTCTATTCAGCCCAGTGGCAGGCGCGTAGGCAACATGTTATACAGTGACAGCGGGCCCAGCACAGCAAAATAAATGATTTGAGCCCGGGACATGCTGCCTACTGTCAAACGCTGCTGTTGGTACACTGAAACAAATCGACATGTACCGTTTATTGGATCCATCTTATAACATAGCAATGTCAGGAGATTTATTCATTCTATGTGATGATTGATAGATTCCAATGGATTATCACTTAAAAACTATGACTGCGATATGGAATGATTTCTATCGTAATTTCACATACTTAGTACTTGATAATACTTTGCTTCGAACGTGGTTAGCGATAGGTAAGATGTATATGAATATTGTCTGATATATTTCATGGTGAAAAACTATTGATATGTCATGGGTGGGAACAGGCATCTAGAAACTAATGGAAAATCATATAAGTTTGCACTATGAGCAAATCGAGTAAAATGTACCTGTTTTCATGATGAATATTGCTCACTAAAAGATATATCATATAAGATAATCATGTATATTTTATTGGAGTTGCTTTTAACGATTTTTGACGTTTGTTGATATGTCGCGTGTAAACAGACATGTAGAAACTATTGGACTGTCATTTAACTTTGCAGTATAGGAAAACATGTATATCTCATTGGAATAGCTTCCTTTGATTTTTGAGGTTTGAATATTGTAAAAAGATCTATCCCAATCATTAAATAGTCATATAGATTTGCCTTTTAAGAAATCCAACAGCAAACATTTGTTTTGGTATGTTTTTCTGGGATGAACATCGCTCCCAATAAAATACATCTTACATAATTGTTCTTTATAAATTATTGAAACAATTTTCAACTATGTTATCGTACACTCATTAGAATGATTAGTCGAACTAAATATTGCTAACAACAATGATACTGTAATAAATAATCATTGTTTGTTATTGTTTCATAAGATAAGGGGTTCCGGAAAAGAATGTTTTGAGATTGAAAAAAAAATGATTCTACTGCAATATTTATTTGCTAAGATTCTAATTGTAAGCCTTCAACACGGCTAATTCAGATTCCAGCACTAGTACTCGAACTTCATGAACCAGTTCCATGAACTCATATAATGTAGTCGTTGTTTTATTGCACACAGGAGCATTAATAATGATTTGAATACACGACACCACTGAAACGGAGCATATATTGGTCAGTGCTATTTTTCTTCACTCTAGCAAAACGAGCATAACGTTGCTCTATATTCCATGTTGGGAGAGCTGTTATTACTTCATGCTAATTGAACGAGTTCAATATTGAAGTCAGCCGTGGCCCAATGGAATCGAGCGCAGACACGAAAAGCATCACAGCTCAACAGTTCTGGATCGAATCCCAAATCAGCTACAATAAAAAAAAAACACAACTGTGAAAGCTCCCACTGCCTGGTGTTTATTTTTCGATTTATTTTTAGAAATCGATTAAATATATGTGTCAAAAGAATAAGTAAATTTCATGTGATTTTCACATAAACTTTACTTCGATTGATTTATGACACATATATTATATTGTGGTGAAAAGTAAAGCTTATGCTTATGGGTTTCAAATCCATTTCAGTTAATTATTATAATTTGACCGATTTTCATTTATCATATGGCGATCATATAAAAGTTTTCAAATTATCAGCATTGTCAATGTATCAGATATTCATATAGAATTTACCTGACACATTTTCAATCATATCATTTTCAATGGATTATCTTATAGCGCAAAATTATTAGACTTCCACATAACAGGAATATGTCAAATTGGTTCAGTGTATAGGCCTTGTCACTGGCCTGATATTGTTGTACCAAATGTCAAAATCTGAGTTACATTGTAACTACTACTTTGTTTGTCTAAAACAAGGGGTTGGTCACTCCGTACAGCGTGCCAAAAACAAGCTTGGGCACACCTGGGCACAGTTATTGGCACTGTTTGGCACCCATGGTTACAATTTTTCTGATCTTTAAAGTTACTGGCAACACTGAACTTTTTCTGCGGCTGCGCAGTGTGCATTTGTCAAAATTTCATATTTATGTTGCCACAACAGAATCAATTTGTTTCAAAACACAACCGTGAATCTCCACCAAGTCTCGCCATGGATTCTTCTAAATCGAATTTTCAGCGCACATCCTGATGCCTGTCCGAAGAACTAGGAACATCGTTTCGCGCCGGACTGCGTAAAATCATTCCGACCACCCAGCATGAAGAAATCAGGGCAATCGCTTGCATAACAACACTCCGTTATCAAAATCGTTACACCGGTAACGGCACATTTCCCCTCCCAGACAAAGAACAGCAGACAGAGCGGTATCGTGACCGGACCGAGGTTTCCGGCCACGGCTACACGAACTAGCGATGCAGCTCCCACGGCTGCGGCTGCTTGTAATGCTGCTGCCGGTCCGTCTCCTACAACATTCTTTTGACGAATTTAAGAGGAGACGGACCAGCAGCGGCTGGAAGCAGCCGCAGCCGTGGGAGCTACATCGCTTATTTTGTGTAGCCGTGGCTCTAGCAATACACTGTTTAGGATATGTCATGACGGACGTTGGGTTGTGCCTTAAATTTAGCTTTGATATTGTTTCAATGTTTTCTCTCTTGAATAAGTGATCTTGGATGGTGCTGACAATGACGATAATGAGCGTTGATCGTGGGGTGAGAGCTGACGAACGAGTTACGCCGTTGCTTTTGCTTTCCTTCTAAGGACATGGACTCCATCTTACATTGAATCGTCGTGTTCGGATTTCGGAGACAGCCGCCCGTCATCGAAATGGGCGTCACACCACCGGACGCTGCTGCCACGACGGAGGCTGTCGCGGCCGCTGCCGACATTGGGTTGTCAGGTGCTGGTACCATGCCCATGTCCATGTTTTCGATGTTTTCGTTGCTCCACGCACCGTTCATCGTCTTGAACGAGGAGAAACACAGCTTCATAATGAACGGGAATTGTGTGCCTTTGTGATCGATCGCGCTGTGGTTGCACTTCATGATGGCGTTCACCACTAGACCAATCCGAAGGAGGAACGTTTCGATTCCACCGGGAACATTCGCACTTGCGACGGGTAGCAGTCCTTGGTGGTGAATGCAGTCAGCAACAGATCCTCGGATATAACGGGTGGGGTATTAAGTGTAGAATCTTGCTCGGTGGCAGAATGCGATTTTTGCTGGCCTGGGCAACGAAAGGTAGCGATTGTTCTTGGAGGCAGTTAGTCCAGTTTGAGCCAAACTGTTTAGCTCGTTTTTGTATGGAAAATGAATTGGCACTAACCAGGCATGGCAAATCATTTCGTGCATTCATTTACATTAATTCAGTGCCAACATTTCAAAGGGGCGTAATTGCTTTTGTAAACAATGACTTTAGCCGTCAATTTCTCGCGAACGAAATCTTACCTCTCCAAAATTACAATGCTAACTGGTAGAGGAAACATTACTCTACCTGGTGGTGTCAATATTTTTCATGAGTGAGCTTTTATTCGCGAGAAATCGACGGCTAAAGCCATTGTCTACAAATGCAATTACGCCCTTTTGAAATGTTGGCACTGAATTTGTCTCTAACTTTTTTCATCAACATAATTTCGTGAAATGTAAGTTAATACCTGAAATGAATGTAAATAATTCTAGATAGAGCTGGAATTAGGACCTAACAGCTTTTGTAAACAATGACTTCTATCGAAGATTTCTAGAAATTCAAGGCTCGCCCACGCAAACCAACATCCTCATCGGTAGGGAAAGGCTTTCCCTATCCGATGCTTATGCTGGTCTGCGTGGGCGTGCATTGAGTTCCTAGAAATCGTCGATAGAAGTCATTGTTTACAAAAGCTGTTACGCCCTAATTCCAGCTCTATCTAGAATTTGACATGCCTGGCGCTAACCAAACCTTCACTACTTTGTAGTACAAAGTCTAAACATTAAAAAGAGAAGTTAATATTGGGTCCCTGTATGCAGTCAAAATAGGGGAAAATTAAAGTTAAAAAGTGCTATAACTTTGCAAGGAATGCACATAACCACATAATGTCTTCGGCAAAAAACATTTAGTTTTACTTTGGTCAGATTTGTCTAGAACATTATAAGCTTGAAACAAATTTATATAAAAAGTTAATAATTAAAAACTAAATTTAAATGGGTAACCTAGCAAACTTTAAAGCTATTAGACATAGAAAATTTGTATTTTCAACCAAGTTTCATATTTTGAGTAGTTCTACAACTTTGCCCAAGAAAGTATCCTTCTATCTCTTTAGGGGAAAAGTTAGGTTTTTTTTCATAGTAGGATATGATAAATTTTTGAAATTGTGGGCAATACTTATGCGAACAATTCCTCTGAAGACACTTTTTTTTATTAAGTTTATACACAATTCAATTAAGTTCGAGATTTTGCCATCTCCGACCACTGTGCAGCAGCAAATGGAGCCTGTTCCTCGGCAACCTTTATCAAGTGATTTAATTCGGAATATTCAATCGGATACTCTGTATTGATGACCCCCTGAAGATATTGTTGAGAATATTGACATGAAAATATTGATGGACAATCTGTCGTGTGGGGTGCACTTTACTTTCATCCTGGGTGAACTCTGAGCAGCGATTCCAGGTGTTTTTAGAAAACATCTTCATCGAAATGGACGAATTGTCTTCAAGTGTCTTCACATCTACTTTTCAGATTAACTTCCGGGAGGGGGGTTGCCCCGTTTTATAAAATATAAAATAGAGCCTTTACAGAAGTTCAGGAAAATTAACGAAACATCATTTGATTTCAGGGAACTTCTTAGTAGATCGGGGACCTTCGTAAAAGTTCAGGGAACTTCTTAGAATTTCGTAGAATGTTAGGAAACTGCGTAAAACTGCATTTAGGAAGCTGCAGCAAATTTAATAGAAGTTCAGCTAACTTTGTAGAAGCTCAGCGAACATCGAAGCACTTCAGTGAACGTCATAGAAAAGCTGTAGAATTTCAGCGAATTTCGCAGAACTTTAATGAAATTTAATCAAGGAATTCCGTAGAAGTTCAAAAAACTTCGTAGAACTTAGCGGAAAAACAGCGAGCAACATAACAATGCAGAAAACTTCGTATATGCGTAACAAGCTATGTTGGAGTTAAATAAATTACGAACCAATTGGTTTCTTTAATTTTGATTAATATATCAGTTGCTATACATCATCTGAAAGAGCTTCATTTTCTGAGCAGAATTATATTTTTTTCGAACTGTTTGACACTAAACTAACAAATTGACAGCTCGCTTCCATACAAAATCCCACCGAGGGATGCTAAGATAGTTCTTGGTCTCCTCGCACATCAAATTAATTCTAATGAAGCTCTTGCAGTTTAAACTTTCAGATATATTGATAACCGTTTGAGGTTTAAACCAGATTCTTCGACTAATTTACCTTGATTTCTCCTTAAAATCCACAAAGAGTTGTCCTCTCCATTATGTTGCCATTATAGTCTGATTTACTTGGGTATTCTCTTAAAAGTTCTCCTCCCAAATCCCTAAAAATTCTTCTCAGTGTCACTTTGGAATTCAAGTCAGACATTCCATCGGAATTCTCCCTAGAACTAAACATGAAATTCACCTAGAAGTCATCCCATTATTCTATATTAATTCTTCCTAGAGACGTTAGCAATGTTATCTGAGATAAGAAGTTTCGCAATGCTAACCCAACCCCGCCACAATTTGCAACGACAAATCCTCATTCCGAAAAGCAAGATACTTACGTCACCCATATGCCGCATGTGGTGCAGGTCGTCCAGCGGTTCCGACTTGATGTCGTCCTCCTGCATCAGCAGCATATCCTTGTCGTCGATCGGATCGTTGACGGCCAGGCCCAACTTTTTCAGCCGCATCTTCTCCGCCCACTCGGCGATGCCGTGCTTCGGTCGGTTCAGGTTCCGATGTTGGTAGAAGATCAACGTCATCCGGGTGGGATTCAGCCGGTTCGGCTTCTTGAGGGCCGTCGTCGAGTGCATCTCCAGCTTGGCACACTCGATGACGACGCTGCCGTGCGGTAGCGCAATCGCAATGCCACCCATCTGCGGATCCTCGAAGCAGTCCAGGTTGTCGTTGGTTTCCGTAACCTCGCCGAGGGTTTCCTTCGGCGGTGGAGGAGGTGCCGGTGGCTGCGGCGCCTGTTGCATAACCGGAGGAATGTCATGCTGCTTGGGACCCAGGTGAGGCTGATGCGGCGCGTGAAGCTGCGATGGGGTGCTGGGCGGGATATGCGTCTGATGGTGAGGATGCGGCGGATACAGATTCCAGTTGGATGGTGGAGGAGGTGCCGGTATTACCGCAGTAGGCGGAGGTGGTGGGGCCGGACCAGTGCCAGGCAGTTGCGTCTGCGTGGCAGAGTACATGTTGTGATATGTAGGGTGGTAGGTTTGTGGTGGATAACCATAGTTGTAGTTCTGGTATGGATCGTATGGCGTGTATGGCGAATGGTAACCGTAACTCATGGGAGTATTTGGATGATAACCGTAGCCTGGGTTATAGTCTGGTGGCTTTGGTTTCACAAAACCTTGCTCCGGTTGTTGGAGCGTGTGGTACGTATTTTGGCTCTGCTGTTGGTTCAGTTTGGTACTACTGTAGTCGTCTAAGTGGATTGGAGTTGGCGTTTTCGTCGGATCCGGTATGCTAGGACTGAAAGCTGAATTACTACTGTTGCTACCCGGCCGAGTGGTTGTATCGGGGATTTCTTCATTCCGTCCCAGCATTTTGTTGGGATCGGTTCGGTTACCGTAGTAATCCGTTGGCCAGTTGTTGTAGTACTGCCGGTTGTCGATGTATTGTCCCGTATTGTAGTCGTAGCTGTACGGTGAATCTAGCACCGTGCTTGAGATCTGATTGGACTGCAGTTGTGCATCGGTAAAGGTATCAATCATAGAAGCCATATCTACGAGTGTACTATTGCCCGGGTTGTTAGGCGAGGCAATTGCATTTGGTGGCGTAAATGCACTGTTCGATCCGTTGTTTCCCGCAGTCTGTCCTTGCGGAGGTACTGTCTTGTTGATATTGGTGGCTCCATTGTTACCGTTGGCGCTAGTTTCCCCACTGGGTTTGGTGGTGTTGTTGCTCGAAGTTTGACCTTTCGGAGAACCAGATCCTGAAGAAGTTTGGCTATTCTGATTACTATTACTTCCATTGCTGTTGTTGTTGCTGTTCGACGAACTCGAAGAACCTTTTTTGCTCTTTGATTTGCTTTCCTTCTTCGTCGGGGGCGGTGGAGGTGGTGGCGTTTCCGGCACAGATTCCTCATTGTTGGAATCATCTTTGGACTTTTCGTCCTTACCATTTCCACGCTTCTTTCCATGCCGCCGGCACGGTTGCAATGGTGTCGATCGCACTCGAACTTCAGTGGGAAATCTACAAAAAAATATATAGGATATGCTTGGTTAGCACTGCCGTTCTATCGTTAAAATCTTCAAGCTTCAAATGAGGCTCTCTAAAAAAGAAACCAATGCTTTACACTCACTTCTCCAGCACTTGCACGGCTCCGGTCTCGGCCTTTTTCTTCTGACCTTCTTCGCTGTCAAACTCGTCCGTCGTGTCCATGGTGTAGAGTGGCAAAACATGCAGTTGTTCGTCGTCCGGTTTCACACCCGGTGGAAGCGGTTTCAGTAGCGTCACCTGAACCGTACATCCATCCTGCATGTTGTGCAAGTCTCGGTGCGTATGACCGCAGAAGTCCAAACAGCAAGTGACACCTATCGTAAGGAATGATAATTAGAAGATCAACACAAAAATCATGTAACTTCTTACCTGAGAAAGGCTTTCCGGGTTTCAGTCCCAGTCGGCAGTCGGGAGCTTCCCGTTCGTACTGGACTTGGTTTTGGAAGGCCTGCGGTGCTACCGTTACGTACAGAGGACTCAGCATCGTCGCCAGGATGTTCATGCGTTCTTCGATCTCGGCTTCCTCGTTCTTGACCGACAGACGGAATTTACGCACCGTTTTGGAACGGGCATATTTACAACCATTATAATACATGGACCAGCTGCAGCCAAAGCTGTACGATACTCCACAGGTTTCCGGATCGAGACCTACGGTTTTGAATGAAATCCTTTTCTCAAAATTCTGAACTACTCCCGGCAGACCGAGCCGTTCCACTTACCCTGACATGCGCAAGTTCGGTTCTCGTTGGTCGCACAGCGACGCACCGTTGGAAGACCGTATTTGTTCAGTTTGACCGATAGCATCCGGTAGACGCTGTCCGCTTCCTGCGTTGGAATACCATCCCAGACTACGATACATATCACAATGAAGGACGCCTTACACCTGTGCAGAAAAAGAAGACACGAAAGAAAAAATCCCCGGTTAGTAAAGCTCACCGTTCGTTCGTCCTAGGGTACCGGCTCAGAAAGTCAAGATCCGACCATAGACTCACCGATGCCCTTGGCGTCGTTTGACGATGAAGAGAAGCTTCTCCTCCGGGTCGACTCGTCGAATGACCCACTTGGCAATCGGGCAACCTTGACTAGATTTGCCCTCCTTGCCGGTGTAAACGACTTTCTCTATCCGTAGCTGTTTGCCGGACAGTCCCACGCGAGTTTCCGTTTCGCGGCGGAGTTCCTCCAGGGATGATGCACAGCCTGCAACGATTATGTATTGTGATTAGATATGAGCAATTCGTAAAGGTTGATCCAAACTTACCCAGATGGGTGTAGTAGCTTCCCGGTTCGGACGGAGCTTTGTTGTCCGTCGAGTTGAAGCAATCACAGTCCGGTGCTTCCGGTTTGTGTGCCTTTTCTAGCTTTTCGTCTTCTGCCTGCTTGACGGCGGCAGCTTCCTGTTCCTTCTTCGTGCCCTTGGATTCCTTCTTCTTGTTGGATTTGCTACCGTTACCACCGCTACCTTCGGTCTTGGTTTCGCCGTCACCTCCGGATGTCGAGTCTTTGCTGGCTTTGTCTTTCTTGTCGGACTTTTTGGATTTGCCCGTAGAAGGCGTGCTGGCAGTTTGAGCCGGAAGTGGAGGTTCCGGTTCAGAACTGGTCTTCGGAACGATGATGGGTACGCTTGATGGGGGATTGTTGTTGAGGACCGGACTTGGTTCACTCAGCGGAGGTGCGCTATTGTTGGCCAGATATGAATTGTCTTCCACTTCCAGCTTGATAGGAACGTCCGGTTGGGGAATGCCGGTGTTTTTCGGGATTGGGTACGTGTGAGCGGGGATCTGCTGCTCGAAGTTGGTTTGATGGGCAACCGGAGTGGTGATTGCCGGCAGTGGTGTGCTTACTTCCGGAGCCGGTGGTGGAAGCGCACTGCCAGCTGCCGAGGGACTGTTGAAGTTTTGATTATGGTAGTTGGGATAGTTCTGGTAGCCTGGATAGGTGCCGTACGGGGAATAGTAGCTGTTGTACTCGGATTTAGTCGAACCGGAAAGACTAGAACTGCCGTGCTGAGAAGGTTGGCTTTGTGGCGGTTGACTGCTGTCATTGTATTCTCCGTAGCGGATGAAGTTTTGGTAGTTCTTCTCGTAACCGTCAAACTTGGGTGGTTGACCATCGTCCAGCAGACCTGGTTCCTTTTTCACGTTCATTAGGTTGTAACCGGAGGCGGATGACCCGGCACCGGTGGCGGTTTGCGGATGGTGGAATGCACCGCTGTGGAGGCCATGGGGCGACTGCTGGTGCGGAAGGTGTGGATTGAAGCCACTGTTGAGGTTATCGTGTCGGAATCGATTCAGAGGACTCTTGTCGTCCACTTTGTTGTCCAGATGGTGACTAGGATAGCCAACGAGTCCAAGTGACGATTGGTTACTGCTACTACTACTGCTATGATTGGTTGCTGGATATGTTTGATTAAGATTCGGATACGGCGACGACGACGAAGATGACGATGAGTGTTGATCGCTCATAAAACTACTACTTGAATAGCTATTAAGATTACTGGAAGATTTGTTAGAGTCTATCGGTTGATTCATGTCGAGATGATGATTGTTTTTCGATTTGCTATGCTTATCGCTATTCTTATGGCTACTGTTCTTAGACTTGGAGGAGGACGATGATGAAGACGACGATTTGGAGGAGTGGAGTTTATGCTTGATGTCGTGTCCGCCGCCGCCTGTATCGTGATGTAGACCGCCACCTCCTGGGTCGGTATTATTCTTGTCGATTAGTTGCTGCTTCTGCTCAAAACCCTGATGCTTACTACCGTGATGAAGATCGCCCATAAGCGTGTGATGTTCGTGCTCTGCTCTGTTTGCTCCATTGCTCTCGATGCCTATGCCGGGCGATTTGCTGCTTTGCTTCCAGTTGGGATCAACAATATTGCTGATACTGTTGATCAAACCGCCACCATCTCCGATAGTACCATCGTTGGATGTACTGTTACTGCCGCTGCCTGTTCCACCACCCATCATTGCTGAGTTGGGCGCTGGCGACTGTCCTGTGGCAGAACTACTGCCACCAGCCGCTAGCGATGTAGGCGTTAGACTGTCTCGGAGATGGTGGCTATACGATAAAAAATGACCGGTCTGTTGTTGGGCCGGTCCTTGTCCAAGCCCCGGGCTTTGGACACCTAGATGACTCATGTGTTGACCCGAGGGTTGCAGGCCACCGACCCCGTCCTTGGGATCGTTCTTGTTCATAATCATTGTTTTCAACCGTGAGTTCAGATTTACCCGGTCGGATTGGTTGAACAGATCGGTCGATTGCTGCTGCTGCTGCTGCTGTTGTTGATTCCAGCCAACCCAGTCTCCTTGGGATTGCTGTTGCTGGCCACCGTTCATGTGGCTGGGCGACTGATGATTGTCTGGCGTTTGCATTGGTGACGGAGTATGCATGCCGCTATGAGTTTGCTGCGCGTAGACGTTGTTATTGTTGTTGTTGTTTGCGCTGTTAGCACCATTGTTGTGGTTTGGCGATTGCTGCAGATTGTTATTGTTTCCGTTACTGCTGTACGGGTTCGGAGATTGCTGAGCGTACAGTTGTTGGTTGGAATTGGGACGCGGGGGTTGCTGTTGCTGTTGCGTTTGCCGGTTCGGCGACTGCGGAACCTGTGCCGGTGGGTGCATGGAACTGTTACTGCCGGTGCCGGCACTGTTGGCACCGGTACTGGTGGAAGTTCCGTTGGCATTGGTTACATTAGTCGTTGCCGAGCTGGCTTGGGTGGTGGTTTGGCCGCCATATTCTTGCTGGCCTGAATATCCATTACAATTGAGTGAGCGCGGCGGTACGCTGTTCACCCGTGGATATCCAGGCATGTCGTTTCCCGACGTCTGCTTGTTGAGCTGCAGATTGAACTGATCGTGCGGGTTGTGTGAGACGACTGCCGGTCCGGTCGAGACCTGTCCGGCGTAGGTGACGGTCGGTGCAAAGGAAACACTCTGGAGCGACACCTGGTTGATCGGTGTGATTTGGTTGGTTTGGAACTCGTACCGCTGTACGGTGGGGGGAGCGGCATAGGTCCGACCGTAGTTCGGATCGAACCCGATTCCGGCCGTTTGGACGTAACCGTTCGGCTGGTATGCGGCGTAACCCTGGAAAGTTAGATTGGTTAGGGGTGAGAGTTTCTATGGCAATTGATCAAGGGTTTTGGATGGTCCTCATGTCCCAAAATGAAGAGTTTTAAATTGCGGACAAACTGAAGCATTGGGGGAGGGGGGGAAGGTGCGTGGCTTTGTGATGGTGGTGGTTAGTAGAAAGAGTTGGTAACCGAGATCACTCGCTCGTAGTCGAACTGGTCGTGGTGTATTGGTGGTGGTGGTAATGATGGATGATGATGATGATGTACAACGGGATGGTATTCGTAATGTACCTGTGGCTGAAATTCGAGCGAGTTTAGCGGCGTTATGGCGGGAGTATTCTGCGGAATCTGCTGGATGAACTGATTCTGCCAACCCTGGGATGGGTCGGCCTGCCAGGTCGGATAGAATGCCATCGGTGCCTGTTGGTGGATGGGGGGAGAAGAAGAGAAAAATACCATTAAGAATCAGAAAATAATTGCTACGAGCGACAAGATGTTTCATGGCAAAAGCTGAACTTCCGGTCGGTGGAGTGTGTGTCGCGTAATCCAGTGATGCTTAAACTTTTGCTGATTGCGACCCACATCAGGAAATTCCATTAATAAGTGACCCACCTTATATTTGCTAGATCAAAAGGCGCTTACGAAAAATGCCGAAAAACACTTTAAAATAAGCCTTAGGGGAGGCTACCGCCTCGAACAAAAACTGCGTTTTGATTTTGCTTAAGAATCACGGACATGGTTGGACTCAAAAAACCGCACAAAATTATCCTTTCTCTCTACCAACCTTTCTTACAACTTCTCTGGGAATGAATCCTCCCACAAGACTTCACAGATATCTGCCAAGTTCTTCATTCTGTAGAACATATGATTTTTTTGCTGCGCTCAGTACGACGCTGATTGGCTACCTGCGCGAGGCTGACCTTTTCGAGTGGGTCTACACACTTAGAAGTAACTAATTTTACACGTGAGAGAATCCATCTTTGACATAAAGGACGAGACGTAAACAAACATGTCATGTGAAATTAAATGCTCCGAGAGACTGAAAATTTCATTACTCTATACGAAGAGTACGTTTGATTGAGCTGAATTTAGCGTCTGTTATGACTCAATTTAATGTCAAAATTGACGCTCGTATATGTCAGTCTCAGAGCACCTAAATTTACATGAATTTTTCTAAGTGTGTATTTCTTCCATACAAATCCTGACCCAGTGAAAACAGTCTTTAATTTTTTTTAAATTTAATTTTTTTAAATTATCGTTGTTCTCAAGTGGTGATCAAAATTGTGAGAAATTAATTTTTCAATTAAATATCATTAAATGAAATCAAAATATGGAAAATCAGCCACAACAACGACTTAACTATTGACAATAACGACGAACAATATTTTCACTTGAAAAAGGCCACAACCCACGGCCAAAAGTCAAGCAGATTACATCGTAGTCGTTGCAGTGTTTTAAGACTGAGAAAGCCGTTAATCAAAGCTGAATTTTAGCTTTTGTACAATGATCGGAAAATTCCGGAAGACAACTCCGGGGAATGTTTGAATTAGCTTCTGAACGAAGCCGAAAAAACATCCAGAGAAAAACGAAAGAAGCTCTCCTGGATGAAGTTCGAGGAAAATACTAGGAAAAGCTGGAAAAAACATCCGGGAAACTTCCAAGACACGAGAAACTTGTGGCGAAAATTTAAATAAACTATCGGAAAAAATCAGATGTCACATTTAAAGGAAGCCAGAAAAGTTTCGGAAACCGGTAGTAAATTTTCAGAAGTAGCCATTGCCAGGAAAAGCCAGAAGAAGCTCGGAAAAACCTTCCAATAGAAGTCGAACAAAAAAAACGTTTGGCTTATGGTCAAACTTTCAGAAGAAGACGAAAGAAATTTCTGGGAGAATAAATTGAACTTCCTGGAGAAGACGAAAGAAACTTCCTGGAGACGCTGGCAGAAACTTCTGAAGGAAGTCGGAAGCCAGAGCGCTTACGGAACAGTGGAAAGAAACAAGGACATAATTCCGGAAGAAAGAGATTCCTGGGGGATGTTCTAATGATCCAGAAATTTTTCCTGATATTCATAGAACATCCCTGAAGACTTCGAAATTTCCCTGAAGTTTTCGGAACATTCCTAAAATGCACTTAGGAATATTCCATAATTCCTCGAAATTCCATAAAAGTTCTTGTAATTTTCCTGAAATTAGGGACTGTTTAGGAGTTCTCTGGTCATCCTCAAATCCTCCTTCCCTGATTATAATAACACTACTGGAATATCTCTAATCATCTTTGAAGGTCTCTGGACTTTCTTTAAGATTACGAAATCTCTTAAGTGCTCTCACAATTTTCTTAGATTGATTGTAACATCCGAGGGGGGCGGCACATCTAAATCTCAAGTTTAGATGCTCAAAAAATCTCACACTAGCGAATCAATCTTCGAAAAATCTTCTTACATTTGTCGCATCTACTTGCATCGCTCATAATCTTTTTGCAGGAAATCTTCAGAATCATCATCAATCTTCTTTCTATCTACTTAGCGTGCGCGCAGCTAGCCACAGCAAAACACAATCTTTTTTGCATCGTAGATAGAGTCGTCCCCCTCGATAACATCAGCATTGAAGCATAGAGGTAACTCTAAGACCAAAAGGTCTCGATGAAACGTGCTCAACTTTTTGGCCCAGCTCTGGTACTAGCTTCGGTCCCAAGCTAATCGATGCACCCCTCGAAACATAGGAATATCCACGAACCCCTCATTTTATCTGTCAAACTTTCAAAGCGAATCAAAACAAACATAGTGTAGTACTAGAATTTCGACTATAATGGGGTATGTCAATCGATTTGCATGGGACCAATAGGCTAGTCAAGTAGTGAGCCAATTTAAAATCGATAGTTTCGTATTGATTGTTGATTAAAGTTCTCTGATCTTCCCAATTTTTTTAATTTTTAAAAGTTATCGACACTGCCATTAAAAAGCATTGAACTTCCCATAAAATGTTCTCACAATGTTCTAATGTTCATGTAACTTCCCTTACGTTTCCTAAATTTCCATCAGCCCCTCAGGACATTGCTGAAGTTTTAGAAAATTGCTGAAGTTTTCGAAAATTGCCTGAGTTTCTCGGAACTCCTTTATATTTCAGTAATTTCATGAATTAATTGATCTGTCCTGATGTTCTCTGAGCTTCACTAAAGTTCCTGAAAACCATTAAATTTCCCTGAAAGTTTTTGGACTTGTGAAGTTTCCAAGATATTTATGATGTTTCCTTAAGTTCACTGGAGTTCGTAAATAATGTTTAAACAATATTTCTTGATCCACTAAGAATTACCGGAAAGAGCCAGCGACTATTACTAGATTGATGGGTAGCCAAAAATGGCAAGGCAATGCAAACATTAGTCAAAAGAGTATCAAGCATAAGGCATCTTTAGAGATGATTTCCTTAGAATTTTGAAGGCTCAAAAAAATATGAGGTATTCAAAAAGATACAAGTCTATCACAAAAAAAAATCTCCGAAATTCGAGTGCGGGCAGGCAATAATAATTTTGATTATTAAGGGGGGAGTACACTTTGATTTTTCAAAAATATGCATTTTTTTGGCTTAAAATGTTCCTTGGGATGTATACTTTAATTTAGAAAAGACTCCAAGTCCGCCAGAATATTCCTTACCGCTTTACGAAGCGATTTCCTAAAACATGTACCGGCGCGCTGAGAGAGCATTTTTATCTTTAAACGCGTTTATCTCGAAACGGGGTTTTTCAAACTGGCGTGGGAAATAACTCTAACCAGGTATCATCAAATTTGGATATCGCCTAGGTTTTCTTGTTCAGAATTAAATTCTGCTTAGAAATACGTATCCACATAATCCACGATTTTGTAAGCATTTTTAGGGTGAAAAAATGGGCTTTTTTTTTCCTACGGCCACAACCTATGAAAAAATTAATTTCAAAAAAATCGGAATACGTATTTCTAAGCCAAATTTCACTACTAATCAGGATTTTTGTTCGATTTATGTTCCAGGATCACATGGAAAGGAGTATTTTCCCATGCCGTTTTCCGACTTCCGCGCGAGGACGCCCGCGTGACCTGGTGCACCGGCCACGTAGAGACGCCAAATGAGTTCAAAAAAAAAAATTGTAGTTCGAAGGATGACTAATAAATGTGTTATAACATATTTGCCCTCCCTGAGGGTTTTATTGCTTTAAAAAATTAACGAAAATGCCTTACTTTTTGGACGTTCAAAGTGTACTACCCCCTTAAAAAACGGTGTAAATCGGTATAAAATCTTAAAAATCGGTATTCTGAGGCATCTTAACTGTATATCGGTATCTAGTTTGGAAATCGGTATGAATACCGATAAATCGGTATATCTGGCAACGCTGATCCCAGCAGCCAGGTCAAAAAATTCAAGCTGTCAGAAATACCGGGTTGCCAAATATACGTATTTTACAAAAAAGAAAATCGCAGTTTGCTCTATAACTGGCACAATCGGCACTCCTGCGGCACACTGAGAAAAATATTGACCCAAGATTGGTGTGGAGCAGGGTTGAAAAAATCATGAAAAAATCACCAGCATTCACTATGAAATGAATTTTTCATCCATAGTGAACTTTGATGAATTTTAGTGATTTTTTCAGCCCTGGTGTGGAGTGACCATGAGCATCCCAAAAATCGAACTTGGTATAAGGACGACGATGATTTATTCTGCTGCGGGCGAGTTTCGAGTGGACTAGTGGTTGCGGGAGTGCTTATTAATACGCATTTTTAATGCACCACCAACGTAGAGTGCGCCACGCGAGTTCGAAAAGAAACGTCAACCAAACCGTTTGTTTACATCAGAATAAGTATTTTCCCCAACGCAAATAACAGCATTTTCCATTCAAAATCTTGCCAATTTCCATCGGTAATTGTCTTATTGTTCGATTTTCCACAAATCTGAAATGATTTGCACCTTAACTATTCACACGCAAGAAATCCGGAAGATCATAACCACTAAGGCACGTTTCTAACTATCAATTTTTCTCAACAAAAATATTCCTGAACACCAGCAGGATCTTTTCAAAAACGTTACAGAATTAAATTTTTCAACTGTAGATTAAGTTTTGCAGCATCTCAGATGAATCAATTGATCAGGAAAAGTAAAAAAGTGTTCCGCTTCCTATGTCTCAAGGCAAAAAATTATGCTCACAACACTCTTTTTGACGTTCTCCTATTCACCACCAGAGGTTGAATCGATCGTTTAGTTTCTATTAAAAAGGCCTATTGCTGTGTATTAATTTATATTGGTTGCAATAATCCAATCGTTGGTTGTCATATATTCGTTAATTTTCATTCTAAAGAAAGGACAATTATTTAAAAAAATCCAATTCTGGGTCAATTTTACCTGTTCAATTCGATTGATCGTTAGGAAATTTTCACTCAATGGAAGCTTCATCAGGATTAA